GAACTTGGTACGTTCCATCTTCAGAACATCTGTCAGGAAACATGATCTTGTTGAGATTTAAGCAAACAATATTTTAAGTTAAGCAGAAGATGATGGATTTTTTATATAAAATGAATAAATGTGAAAAAAATAATGACAGAAATTGACAATATAATCAAAATGAAAATGATAAAATAAATGAATGGATTATATCAAAAAACATAATAAAAATGTTAAAAATTAGATAGTTTTAGAAGTTTTAAGGAAAGGTTACTAAAAAACTAATTAATTATTAATTCAGTAACCTTTTTCTTTTTTCAAGCTCTACAAAATATTTAAAAATCCAAGACTTTACCATCTAATATATATATATATATATAAAATATATATCTATAATATATATACTCGTATATATATATATGCGGGGCACAAGGTACAATTTGACTTTGAGCAATTGTATTGTAAAAATCAAACCAATTATATTACAACAAAATTACATATAAAAACAAACAACTATCTGACTATGTTTAGTAAAACTCCCAACTAATTCATCAGTGTAAAAATGTGTTTTTACTGTTTTTTTCAAAAATTTGTGCGACCTTTGCAAAAATGAGACAGCCAGAAGGTAAAGAGGCGTCGATTGATCACGTGATCGATTTTTTAGGAATTTTGTGCCCCCCCCCTCCTCCTTGGCGATACGTGGTGATATTCAAAATTACCACCCCCCCCCACCGAGCACAACGTGTATTTTTAGTCACGAAAAAATTGAAGAAATATTGATTTTTTTTTTAAATGTTTAGATTTTTAAAAAAAAAAAAAATTCAGGTAAAAATAATACACTTGATACTACATACAAATAAATACATACAAAAAATTTAACATTGCAAAAAGCTTTCCCGGGCATCCATCAAATTATAGAAGAAAAACCAAGTTAGGTTTGATTTCTTTGTAATAAAATTGGAAAAGTTTCGAGACTTCTTTTGATTCATCTTCAGTGAAAAAGTATAAGTATTTATGATATAAAATATATTTATGATATAAATTTTTCTGAAGATAAATTGAGTACCATAAGAGTCATCAATATGAACTGAATAAACAGTTACAGTAATAAATATATATTTGATATGTAAGTCAAGGATTTGTTTTTAATTTGTGTGTGTTCTGATTAGTGTGTCGTAATATGAAAAGAATTTTTTTTTTGCAAAAAAAGTTTATATTCTATGTTTTAGAATTAGATACTTCCCATCTTCAGGCTTTATATAAAGTATGAAACATTATCAAAAACAAAGGACTTATTATTATTATTACAAGGGGCAATTGTAAATGCAAATGATTTTACTAATCGTAATCCTTATATAACGTGTTTTTAAGCTGAAACAACAAATATCATCATGACATTGAATAAGAAAAACCATTCATTAATATTCACATTTGTTCGGAAATACAAGAGAATTCGTATTCGTATTCGTATTCTAGCGCACGCCGCAGAGTACTGCTGGTATGTAGATAAATTTGATGGTCTCCGACTAATGGATCAAGAATTCTGGATCGTGGCGATGTAGAAGATCAAGAGGAAGGAACTAATTGTTTTAACCAAATTTTTGGAAGCCTCTCTTTTTCGAAAGAGAGGCGCATAATTAACAACATTCACTTATGTGTAATACACATATATATATACATATATATATATATATATATAATATATATATATATATACACACACACTATAGTGTGTGCATGGCATCGTGCTGCAAGGCAAATTTCTGGAACTTCCCGTACCGTTCCCGATATCTTACTATACCCCTCCTTTCACTCTAAAAACCTCACGTGATTAATAAAGGCCCTCAAATAGGTACTATGTCTTATTTTGCAATTGTAAGATGTAAGTAACAAAACATAGTTTTAAACCTTTATGAAGTTTTTAGGTAAAAAATCGTATACTTTTTTCCCTACATAGGACCATTTGAAGAAATCTTGAGAAAAGTGGGCGAAGAAAGAATTCTACTCTGAGCACGATCCTGAAACGGAAAAGAAACTGGGTCGGACCCATTCTGCGAAGAGTGCCTTCTACATAATGTCGTCGAAGGTAAAATAGAAGGACTAAAAAGATTGGAAAGAAGGAAAATACAGATGGTTGATGACTTAAGCGAGAAAAGAAATATAGGAACTAAAAGCCTAAGCACAGGACCAGAAAGCATGGAAGTATGGAAAGAGCAATGCAGAAATGTGAACAGTGGTTTAAAATGGTAATGGGAATAATAAACAAGAGAAGAAAAGGGAATTATTGATTTGTGGTCTTTAATAATTTCAACACTATAGACCTGCTTTCGGACAGACTAGAATTTATTATTATTACATTACATAGAACCACTATATACTGTGGTTCTATGTAATGTAATAATAATTACGGGTACTATCATGTTTTTTGAAATCAATTTGCAAAATTATTTCCATTATTTACTTCGACTCTAACTATGGCTT